AAAAAAAAGAAATCAAAAGAAATAATAAATGCCTGATCATTGGTCTCAACTGATCCTAAAGTACAAAATATTACATAACTTATCGATTGATTGATTGATTATGATCTGATGAAAATATAATTTACCTATCATTCATGCTTTATATTAATTTGAAGTGAAAAAAAAGAAAAAAAAACTAATTTATTAATCATTTCTTTTTTCTTTTTTATAAGAGAAAGAGAGGGGGAGGAAAAGAAAAAAAGGAATGTCTTCAAAAACTGAAAATATTTTGTTAATTTAGAATCGTGGCTAAATAGCCATTTGTGGTCAAATACATCATTTACTGCTTGCTATACCCAAGCCTATACATAAACCACACATCTCACTCAGTCGTATGTTTTTCATCGTATCTCTCTTTTCTCTTCATTTCGTTTTTCTCTTTTTTAGAAATTTGAAAAAAAAATTTTTTTTATCAGACTTTTTTTATCAGTTCAGTAAATCTTAATTTACTGAAGAATTTTAAAACTTAATGAGAGTATAGCTTACTAAAGAATAATCAAAGTGATAAGATTATGATTTACTAAATTTCAAAACTTTTCAAAAGAATTTTCAAAATTGATGACTTATGACCTTCCTATTTTGACATTGTAGCGCATTAATTAATTAATTAATTTACACTAAGTACAAATGAATGATTAATCTATTTATGCATTTGTTTAATGTATTCTGAATGTTATATAAGTATGAACCAAAATCGGTTGAAATTTTATTTGAGCAATTAATTCTGTATCAAATCGGAATTTGTTGATTATTATTGATTTCGAATTATATTACTTTATTGCCTATAGCAAATTATAATACTATTAGCAAGAAATTACGTATAACTTATTAATACTTTTCATTACTGTTCAATTTGAATAAATGGAAACATCAGTAATATTCACTTCTTAGTTCATTTCTTTCTAATCATTTAACTTAAAATGAATTCAAATGTTCTGCACCTTATTTTTTAGTGTTTATTTATTTTCTTAATGATTGATTGAAATATTTCATTGTCTTCCACTCGAAATTTATCATTTAAATTTACATTCATTTTTTAACAAATTCAAAGTAATCTGCAAATCATTAAAATGCCTCTACAAAGCTTATTTTAGCTTATCATAAAAATTTTCTAAGTGTAGTTTATTCAAGCCATGTTGATAATGCTCAATTAGTTACTCCCTTCTTTAAATTTTGATTTGTTTGAGGTAGTTCTAAATTATTTAATAATTGAATTAAATTTCAAAATTAGATTAGAAGAAGTGCTCTTTTATTTTGACAATTTCGGCAGTAAATTTCAAAAATTTTTGAATGTTTTTTTTTACTTACACAAAACTAGACAGGAAATTCATTTGTGCTGTTCAAACTGAAAGCAATAAAAAAAAACACTTCAATAATTTTTCAATGAAAGATATCAGGTAATTGTCAGTTGACCTATTTCAATTAGATAAAGTAAAATAAGCTTGATAAAGGTGAAAGATTGCATTTTCAAATGGTTTCATCACTTTGCTCTTATTTATTAAGCAAAATTTCTTTTTTTTCCAACATTAGAATAACTAATTCAAACTGAATTGAAATTCAAGCTTCTTATTTGCTATTTTGTCCAATATATTTATTTGATGCGACATTTCCATTATGCATATGTTGTAAATAAAATCAGAAGATAGTGGATCGTTTGCATAACTTATCAGATATTTTGAATTAAAATTTTGGAAACAGATCCCAAATCCAAGTGGATCAAAATTTTGGAATTATGACAAGGAGAAAAGAACTTATCAGAAGTGACAATTTAGTAAGGATATCTTCTTTTAAAAGATAAATGAAAATAAATCGAAAAACACTTATCATTTGTATTTCATCTTTCTAATTTCTCTTATATTCCTTATATTAAGCAACATACACACACAAACACACACACACACGCACACACACACATGCACACTCACATACACATACATACACATACACGCATAAACACGCGTGCACATACACATATGTGTATAGGAACACACCTGTTGTTTAACTTCAAAATAATTTCAATTTAATCCATCATTTTTCATCTAATCTTGCTATTTCTTCAAATCCTTCACTATGATAAATTATTTTGCAAAATAAATTTAATTAATTTGATAGATGAATTGATGGAAGTTTCATCTTTCCATTTAACATAACATTTTCATTTCTTTCATTCATCCATCCTTCTATTCCTTCTTGTAGTAAAAATTTATGAATATGTAATCTAAAATGTTAGTCAAATTAGTATTTTTTGAAATTGAAATTCAAAAATAAACCTTTTTTATTTCTCATTCAATTCATGCTTATCTCTTCCTCTCTTCCTCTCTTTTTTTTCTCTGGCAAACATTACTAGCTTATTCGATTTCATTTTATCTTCTTCAGCTAAGAAGCTAATAAAAATTTTTAAATTGCGTCATTTCCGACTAATCTTTTTTTTTCCTTTCACTATTTTCACTTTTTTTTTTCTTGCACTTCTTTGTCATTGAAATTTCCAAAATTTTAGAAAATTGCTAGAAAAAATTTGATTATCCATTGGTGGAAAACAGATTTTTGCACTAAAAATATTCTTATTAAAGAAAGATATTTTATTAAAAATAGTAATTTTATAGTTTGATTTTTATCTCTTCACATTATGGAAATTCGTTGAAATTACAACATTCGATGACATTTTCATTTTATTCAACAATTTTATTTTCAAAATTTTCATAAGATAAAGAGAAGGGAATGATTCTCTAAGATGACAAGAACTTCTCTCAGTTGACAAAACTCTTAGAGCCAAGACAGTCAGTCAAAAACAAGGCGAAAAAAGAAAACACATCTCTCAGAAATTTGTCGAGGTAATTTATTATCATAGAAGTCGAATGATTTGTGTTCGATTTCAGAATTAGATTCATTTTCCTCTCAATTCTTCTCTCTTTCTCTCTCTTACCATTTACCTTGGGAATCAGAATTTATCAAAATTTATCAGCAGGATATTATAGATATGTGAAAAATTAACAGGTTACGAAATTTTACAACTCTCTGAATTGCTATTACCTGAATGATTTAACAGAATGAAATGAATCTATAAATGTACTAAATATTGAAATGTAAACATTCAATTTATTATCAGTGAAATATCACTGAAGAAATTAGGTCTAACTGAAATGATACACTTGTTGCTTATTCACTTTTAGATGTTTTTTTCTTTTCGATATTAGATTAAGTATCCAACCTATCTTGTATATCTATACTACGGAATGATCACAAATGCATTAAATTTCAAAAGGGCAATTTTGAACTAATCGTGTTTATTTATCAGCACTTTATTTATCAACGAATGTTGCAACAATTCTGAAAATTTGGAAATTTGAAATTTGTTGACATAAAAATATCTGTCACAAATGTTGCTAAGTTTGTTTAAACTTCAAACAAAAGTCCAGAAACAGAAGGATTGTAAAACTGTTTTGCAAAGATTGTGTCACAACCCCAAGGGAGGAATAGCTTGATAAATGACTGATGAGAATAGGCCAATGATAGATCGAATCAGTTGTTGCTGCAAATAAAATAAAGCTATAATGTGAGATTTACGTTATTTAAACAAAATAAATAGAATGAAAGTAAGGTAAATAAAATAAATAAGTCTAGTCAAGTAAAAAAAAAACTCAATTGAATTTAAACTAAGTTGAAATTTTAAACTACTTTAAATTAAATTTAAACTAAACCATTCTTTGTCAAAGGAATGATTAAAGCTTATTTATAATTTGTTCTTCGTAATGGATGTTATTGGAAAAAGCGGAAATTATAGAAAGCAAAAAAGAGATAAGTGAAGCAAAAGTTGTTTTATTTTGATTGGTTACTTACCTGGCTTTATTTACCTTATTTTTACTCTACTTATTTCATTCACGTCTTCTAATATTTAGTTCTCTTAAATCTCAAACTTGATTTTTATCACTTTTGTCAGTATTTTTATCATTGGATCCGTCATTGAATAATTCAGCCTAATTTTTCTCTAAAAATAATATCATCTCAGTGGTGGGAGGGAGAGAGGCAAAAAGCGCAAATTAAATTTAAGGAGGGGATAGTAATTCCCATGGGATAATATGTCATTCATTCACATTTTGCAATTATTTTAACCAGTAGCGCTGCATCCCGAGAGATTTCTTGTTTTCTTCTACTTCTGATTCATCTAATCGATAAAATCATTCATCATCTATCCTCATTACATGTAAAAATCGCGAAAATGCAACTATCGATCATGAAAATAGAGAGAAGCATACTGATAAGTTACTGATAACTTGATAACGTTATCTGTCATTACTGGAATGATACTTTTTAATAATCACCATTATCTCTTTTCGAACTAAATCAATTGTAACATTCTTATCAGATTTATACCAATCAAATTTAGCATGTCAAACTACTAAATTACTGTTGATTATTATTCGCACGGTAAGCTGAATATTCAGTGAGTAAATTAATATTCCATACTTTAGTGCACACAATAGTTAATGCTTATATTGTGTGAGAAAGTTTCCGTATGTGCTTATTTTCGTTTATAAGATGAAAGAATATGTTAAGGATAAAATATAAATTTCTCACGATAAAAGTAAATTTCAAATAAAAGGAAAAGAGAATGGGATGGGATTGAACGGATATTAGATGAATTATTTATCATTTTTAAGTGGCTAAAGTGCTTCTAATAAACAAACCATTTCCTTTTTTTTTTTTAAACTCTTCTTTATTCAAGTAATTCCGTTCTTTTTTTTTCTATTCTAATACCGTTCTATTTGCTGAAATTTCATTCTATTTTGTTTCTTCAAATATTGTGAATGAATATTTTATCTAAAAATTAGTGTAAAAATTTAATTTCCAATTTGTTCCATTGTTAATCATTGAAAATATTCATGCAATAAATAATGTCTGCATCATTATCCTACCATAAACATATAATATCTGTTAGTATCATTCGATAAATGTTAAACTGTTTATAGGTATTAATCAAAACGACTACTCTTTCTGATGCATATTTCCTGATTCATCCAAATTTTGCCGAAATAAAATGATGCAAGGATTGAAAAATATGTGAAATTCAACTGGACGCCATATTTTCTTCCATCTTCTGAAAGCTTCGACAAAATTCAATGCTTCAACATCACATGTCACTTAGGCATCGTGCGGGAAACACTCCACGACCTAAGCGCTTATCATTTTCTTTTGAGCGTAAGTTATCAGCATTTAACATTGTTTGTCGCATTTTTAATTAATTATTTATTTCAAACATTTGCAGAGATTATTTTATGACAAAGTTTGAAAATCATTGATTAACATTTATTGTCATGGCTGGTATTCATTGATTAATCCAATGATTGATTTATTTATTTAAAATAAACATTCTTCGTTGTATTCCTTCTCATTTCTCATCAATCAAAATAAATTTATCCAACAATTTATCATCCATTTTATTCGTTTCTTATTTAATATAACAAGTAATAGGAAGAAAGAGTTGAAAATATGTTAATTATTTAATTTTAAGATTTTTAAATCTATAACTAACATTAAATCAAATAAAACAAAAACAAATGTTTTGTGTTTCTATCATTATATTTTACAAATTCAACGAAAATTTCATTACTTTTAGCGGTATAAATGAAATTCTGATGATTTACCGAAGCGATTCTGACGCGCAAATCGATTGTCTAACCTTGGTATAAGGGGGGTGAAATCTGTTTCCCTCAGGATAGCTGAAGTACATAATGAAGCAGTTATATTCAGTAAAGTGAGATGAAATGTCTTCAATCTATTCTCAAATTTTCAATCAAAGTATGACGTCTTGCTTGCTTAAATAAAGCGTAGACAATGGTAAGCAAAACTGGTAGTACTATGGGATGGATCAAACCTTGTGCTTTTTCTTTTTTTTTTCAGCTACCATTAAGCTGGAACTTGATATCTGTGGTTGGATATTGATAATTGTGGCATATGTTGTTGTCTTTTTAACATTACCCTTCTCAGCATGTGCTTGTATTAAGGTCACATATTTCATTGTTCATTTTGTTTCATGAATTTCAAGAAGATTTATGTGATCATTTAAACAAAATTTTGTATTTTTGATACAAAAAGTTCTATTGAATTATCATTTTTTACTGAATTTATTGAATCACATAATATTAAAACTTTAATTGTCTTTTTTTTCTATCCTTTGGGATTTTATCATTTGATGAAATTTCTTACTTATTATTATTCATTATCGGTAAAGCATCATTATTTCAGGTCGTACAGGAATATGAACGAGCAGTGATATTCCGATTAGGAAGATTAATGACCGGTAGAGCTCGTGGACCTGGTATTATTTCTCCGACAAAAATTTTCATCTTTTGAATTTATTTTCAAAAAGATTTCATTAAGTTTATATGCGCTTATTGTAGGTTTGTTTTTTATTTTGCCATGCATTGACTCCTACAGGAAGGTGGATTTACGTGTTGTATCATTTGATGTACCACCGCAAGAGGTATTATTACCAGCATTTGATTTGCATATAACTTGAAAATCTTAATTAACCTTTCTTCAAGAAGATCTATATATCATAGTAGTGTTTAGTTGAGCCATTACCATATACTCTAGTGTTTTATTGATGGTACTGAACCATAATCCGTAATACTTCATAATACGTATGGATGATTAAAACTTTTGAATTAACATAGATATTAATATTTGGTTAGTATAGCATTTCTTTGATTATAATTATGTGCTATTAGAAAAATTTTATAATTTTTAAAGTTTTTTCAAATAAATTAAAATCATATTTGTTACAAAAATTCAGATTTTGTCACGTGATTCGGTGACAGTAGCTGTAGACGCAGTCGTATATTTCCGTATCTCAAATGCTACTGTATCCGTAACAAATGTTGAGGATGCTAGTCATTCGACAAAATTATTAGCGCAAACAACGCTTAGGAACATACTTGGTACAAAAACCTTAGCTGAAATGCTCAGCGATCGGGAAGCTATCTCTATGCAAATGCATGTAAGTTATTGCATTCAAGTGTGAAAGTATGATATCCAGTAAATGGATACTGAAATTGGGAATTTGAAGCAATGAAATTTACATTCGAGATACGATGGCGGACGAATCACAAAAGCAAATGGCGATTTGTTTAATCTAATCGATGCTTTAGTTATTTATTATTGAGAATTTAATTCTTTTCGGCTTGCTCAAACTCTTTACTTCACTTCGATGAAGTTCTTTAAATGGATTTTTCAAGAAAAATTCGAAAATAATTCAAATCATTTAAATCAATGTGAATTATCTTTGAGGATTTGTTACAAATTAATATTTCATATTTTAATTAACAAATGAAAATTTTTTCCAATCAGAAGAGAAAATAAAGTTAGTAAAGGGATTTAAATGTTCCCCATTTCTTCCAGAATACTCTAGATGAAGCAACCGGTCCATGGGGCGTTCGAGTAGAACGAGTAGAAGTGAAAGATGTTCGTCTACCTGTACAATTACAGCGTGTCATGGCTTCTGAAGCGGAAGCTGCACGAGAAGCTCGTGCTAAGGTATCATATGAAGTGAAACTATTAGTAAAATTAAAGTTATTTATCAAATATATCTTAACAATGTAAAAATCAGAATTAAAATAACGCTTGATTCTCGTCCTTATCTTGGCTTAAATGCATGCATATCACACATTTCATTTCCATCACTCGAATTAATTAATTATGGTACTGGTAATTAGATCATAATCGTACTCATCCGTCTTAATCTGATTATTAAGGTAATAGCAGCAGAGGGTGAGAAGAAAGCTTCGGAATCTCTTAATGAAGCTGCAAATATGATTGCCGAATCACCGTGCGCTATTCAGTTGCGGTATCTTCAAACTCTCAATTCTATCAGGTTCAGGTTTATTTCTTAGTTTTATTATTTGACATTTCTCAAAGCTATAAATTAGCTTTTTAGTCTCCAAATGTCTTCATTTTACTCTAGGTTCCTTTAAAATCAAGTGACATAAGATAATAGATGGATATATGAAGAGACAAAAAGGGAATTGTGTAAATTGAACAATTAACTGACATATATGGATGATTGATGAATGTATACAAACAATTCATTCTTTAATTTTAAATTAAAATATATTTTGCAGTGCCGAGAAGAATTCAACAGTAATATTTCCATTTCCAATAGAACTTATCCAACTGTTTATCCCACACCATTCATGAGTATACCATTATCCGATCATTAATCATTAACCTTTGTTCAGTTAATTTCTCCTGCTGTTCATTTCCAAAAAAAGAAAAATAAACTTTATGACTGATTGAATGATTGGTATAATAAATATTTATACAACAACAAATCATACAATCTTGTTAAGGATTATTTTAGGCAGTAAATATTGTATCCCTATTTATGCATGCTCTATGATTTGTTACTTAATTCAGGAGTATGCTTTTACACTGATATCCTTTTTATCTTTGATGAATAAATCGTATTCAATATATGAGTGAAATGTTTCTGACAGTAATATGAAGTTTGGCTGATTTTAATTTCAGATTAAGATTTCTGAATAATCAATTGCAGGAATAAAATTGAATGATCAAAACCGTTAATTTTTATTTCCTCCCTTTTGCACGCTTTTTCCAGAAAAAAAAGTTAAAATGAACTGCCCTTCCTTGGAGAAATGATTTATATACTAAATAATACTGTTCGTCTTCATGCAAATTTCTACGAACGACCCATTCATTTCCCATCTTTTGTTGACGAAAGTGACAGGTAATACTTTTTCACATTTCGTTCATTTGAATTCAATAATTAGAATCCCAGGGGACAATGTACTTATATAATAACTTTGTCAAGTTGATCATTGCTGAAATCACCCAACAATCAAGACAACAATTTAGCAAACCACTCGATAGCCTTGGGTTGTGGAACAATTCGTGTAAATCGTTTCATTGTCAAACAGTGGTGTTTCGTTGTGCTACTCATTAAATTTTCACTGAGATCGCATATGAATTAAGGGTTTTTTGAAAATTTACTTCGTTCAATTCAAACAACTTAAACAAATATTTCCATATTTGACCACTAGTGGACAACATGATAGTAATCAATATCCTGAATTGTTAACATACTGATCCAAAATAGCGAAAACCTTATCAAATTATCACTAAGATCGTCCTAAAATTAAAGTTTTTTTAAAACTTTCTTTAATTTAAACAATCTAAAAAATATTTCCACATGTGATCACTAGTGGACAACACAATCAGTAATTCTGATAGTGATCGCTATCCCAGATCGATAATACAATGTTCAAAAATAGGAAAAACCTTGCCAAGTTTTCATTAAAACCGAATAAAAATTGAGGATTTTTTTCAATATTTCGAGATGTTATTCAACAAATATTTCCGCACGTTCGTTTTTTTTAGTAATGAACAGAAAAGTTTTCAAAAAAATCGTCATAGGTGGTTATGATGACAAATTTGAACATTGTCAACAAGAAATTTTGTTGCATCTTCTCGAACTAAGTGTATTTCTCTCATTTTATGTTCACAAAATTTCTAAAAAGTTATATGCAACTGAATTGTTGTGGTTTTCGTTTATTTGTAATTTCACTCATTTTATTTCTGCACCAAACGTTTGAAAATTTTTATACTCTCTCATATGGCCGAAGTATGAAGAAATTACTTCAACAGTTTGGTATTTCCAAGACATTGCAAGAGAGGTTAAGTAATTAAACATTGAAGTAAAGGAAAAACTTATGTTGAAGAGAAGCAATTGGCAAGGATTTGGCAATAGCTTAGATTGAATTAAATCTTTTGATCATGCCGATTGTTATTGTCTTTATACTTGTTGTTAATACTTTCAGATTTTCACTGAACGTACATCCTCATTATTACAATTATAACACTTGGGCAATATCAAGTATAAAAAGATAACAAGCGATCATAAGATATGATCAAGTGATTTAATTTCATATGCCAGTTGTTAGCATGGTTGATTGCTTCATTTTTTGCTCTTTTAGTAACTTTTTAATCCACTTTTTCCATTATCATAGGATAATGAAAAAATTCTGATACTAATGATCTGGACGTGACTTCTTACAAGCGATTGAATGATCAATCGATTGATTTTATGGTGGGTAAAAATGAGACGAATGTTTAAAGGTTCCTACAATTATTCCTTTTCGTTAGCCTTTTGAGTAGTAGCAAAGTGCCATCAACAAAGCAAATATCGTCTCCATCCGTCGCCCTGATTTCAGCATAACAAATAAATTTCGCCCATGCTCCAATTGCTTTGGTTTCATCGGAACAAACAAATCTCTCTATCTCTCATTTCCCCTTCAATTTGCATCATCCTTAGTCATTAACGCTTCTATGACATCTGATGTCATTTTGTATCACATAAGTTGTTGTAGTGTCCTTATCCGAATTGTTTTCTTTTCAATTACTATAGTTATGATAGTTTCATGAGTGAAAGAATGATACTGTCAACAGCATTTGTCAACCCCTAAAGACATCTGTTGTTTATCATTTTTGGTAGTAATGTGATATGAAAAATTGAACATCAATCGTATTTTAAAGTTTTGTTTTCTATAATTTTGCATTACTTTTCAAGTATAAAAGAAATAAATCGATGAAGGAAGCTATTCTTAAGCATGCATATCTCTGGTCATTAATGTCCACATTTGTCTATTTCAATATTTTCTTTTTGCTGAGGAAGACTTAATTGCAATTGCATTCCATCCTATTCAATTATTCATCCATTACATGTGCTGCTTGAAATTTCTTCCTTATTACATTCACATTATAAAAAATTTTTTGACTGAAACTTCGACAGTTGCGCAAGAGACTGATGGAGCATCCACTGAAGTACCCAACTCCTAAGATTTTATGCAAATATGTATATTTTACTCACTCTGATCATTTCTCCGCGACGGTAATTGCCAACATAAGAATCTATTTTTTGCACTAGTCCAAAAATAAAAACGCTTAGTCTAGCCATAAATCAGGAGTATCTTTATCTTCACTCACTTCATCTGTCCGCTTCCTACTTTTATTTGACCTTTCCAGTCATTCCATTAACGATAAGCAACTTCTTGAATAAAACTGTTATTTGTAAACGATGCTTGAATTTATTTCCTAAGTTGTTTTTTTGATCTGATTTTTATCTGCAGTATCAATAGTATATTCTGAATTGTTATGAATTGGAAATCATAACTTTGAATTTGAAATTAAAAAATCATTTTAAAGTCAATTTCAAATCTAATTATGTGTATTTTAAGTATTAATACCAATGGAAAAAGGAAAAGCAGAAGGACCAGATTGTCACCACTATTATTGCATATGTATAACTTGAATAAAATATAAATTTAAAATTGGTACTATGAAAAAATGTTGAAATCATTTAGCGGAAGGAAACGTTGCATGAGGTATTTGTTATAGAACAGATATATTGCTTTTGCAGATTGCTACAAATTTTATGTTCCATACTTCAGCAGCGTAATAAATTTTTCCTATGTAATTATATATGGAAATTGAAATGTTATGCGCAGAATGCTTTCGTTATCACAGAGAATGATTACAGGTAAATAATCATTTTAGCTTCAATGACAAGTCTTTGATGGAGTAAGTAAAGTTCGAAGTATAAATGTTCACATTCCGACATTCCATTTTTTTCAGAAATAAAAGCATTCCATTTTCTTCTAACAAATCAAAACCAAAATGTGTGATCTTGTATGAACATTTTATTCAAATTATCTTGTTTACAAATATGATTGTTTTATGATATTTGCACCTAGAAAATTAAAAAATTCCGAGAAAACTGGATGGCTATCATTCGAAATTCTATATTTTGTCCAAAGTTTTCATATCGAATTCGTGAATATCAGTAATGTCAAATGAAACGCTATCTTTTTGCAGTGTCTTGGGGGTGAATTGTCGCATGTATACCATTATTTGTCATTTGTTCCAAATCTAAACAGTACCTAACTCTTTAATATCCAGTTTACCTCAACTTTTCTCATTCTTCTTTAGCTATCGTCATTTTATTAGTTTGAAATTAATTTACTGTGAGTTCATTGAAAATTCACTACGGAAACAATTGGATTTAATCAGATTTTTTGTGGTGGTTACTTGAATGAAAGAAGTAATTTTGGTGTATAATTTTAAAAGATGTGAAGATATTGTCAAGAACTAAGAATCTGAAAGATACTGATGTGACAAAAATGTATTCCAAATAAATTTTTCTCAAGTTTGAACTTTGAGTTTTTTTTGAACTTTTTTGAACGTATACATCCTTCAATACTTCCGGATCTGATGATCCGGAAGTATTGAAGGATGTATAGGTTTTCCGCAGTAACTCATCCTTTCGATGTACTTGTTGTTTTTTTTGTTACCATAAAAGTATTGTAATGAAATGGTACAGGCTGTGGACAGTTTACCACCAAAAATTTTAAATCATCAAGCCGCTTAAATCCGATTAAAGCCGTTCAGATGTCAAGCCGCTTAAATCATCTTAGTTTTTGTAAATTTCACAATAAAATTAATTTGTTTCTTCTAATTTTCCAGTTAATGCCATATGCATTTCATTGGACATTTCATGTAGAAACTATCGTTGCATTTCAGGTTTCTGAGAACTGTTTCCAGCATCAGATATGTCAACGATATGCTAATCCGGCTTTGATTATTTATCGCTTAGATGCGCCGAAAGAGCTATGCGATTAGACAAAATCAGGAATAAAACTACGCCTGATCAAATGTACTTTATCAATAACATAGCATTTCTGGAAGCCTATTGATTGATTGGTTGATTGATTAATTGATTGATAACATTATGAATGATTTCACACTGATTCCCATATTTTTTTTCTAGAATTTGCTAAAATTTCAAGCAAATTTATCTCGAAAATAAGGTGCAATTTTTATTGATCACATCGGAAATTCGAGTCTATTCCTGCAGCAGCACTTCAACCGAGAATTCCCGTAACAGTCTAGTGGTGATGCAATATTGATGAATAACAGCAGGCAAGCGCAGCTCAGGCTTCAATTTAGACGTCAACCATCTATGAACAGTAAATTATTTTGTCTTGATTTTGATACACATTGATACTGTTTGTAAAATTGTTTGGATTTCTCCGAAAAAGTTTCACTGCCATAAGAGTAAAGTTAAGGCTAAAATACCATAATT